TGGAAGTTGTTTATAAGCAATTACTTGATAGGTGTCATTTTATGTAAAATATCTCTTTCTTATCACATTGTCATTGTTGGTTGTTGCCCTTGAGTTGATCCCGACTCATGATGAGCTCATGTGTGCAGAGTAGAACTTCTCCATAAGGCTTTCAAGTCTGTGACCTTTCAAAAATAGATCACCAGAAGTGTCTTCCAAGGTGCATCTGGGTGGATTTGAACTATCAACTTTTTGGCTAGTAGATGAGCGCTTAACCATATGCACCTTCCAGCGGCCCCTCTTATGACATAAGTACTATTTCTTCACAAATTAGGAAATTGAGGCACAGGGAGCTTATAGGACTTATCTAAGATCATTTGGGTAGATCATTAATAGGGTTCTAACTTCACTATGCACCTTCTGCACCATCTTTATTTATTCCTGTCTAGGCAATGGGAGTAAGGAGCTCTTGTTATTCCAGTCTGGTAAGGCTATGATCAGAATTTATGGAGTTTTACTCCAGAGTCTCCTCTTATCTACTAAGGTAGCCTGTCTCGCGTGTGCTGCTCATTTCTTTGAAGTCTGGTGATACTTGGTTAACCAAAACAAAACAACAACCAAAAAAAACACTGCCATCAAGTCAGATCTGACTCATAGTGGCCACTCCTTGGGTTTCTGAGGTGGTATCACTATGGAAATAGATAGCCCAACCCTCCTTCCAAGGAGTGGCTGGTGGGTTTGAACTGCCAGCCTTCTGATTAGCAGTCAAATGCCTTAGGCACTATGCCACCAGGGCTCCCAATACTTGGCTACATGTTCTTATTTATGAATTAAGGTCTAGATTAGAATAAGAAGCTATATGGATTTCCTCTTTAGTTGGTTACTTAACTGTTCAAATACTTTATATGCTTGAGCATCATAGATATTTAACATATTAATTTACTATTTTTTGTGATTTTAAACAATTATTTAAATTTACATTTAAAGCTAGGAGGGATGCGAAAGGCCATTTAGAACAATTCCTTTTTTTTTTTTTAAATTGAGACTCAAATATATGACCTGATGGTTAGTTAATGGCCAAATAGAAGTGGAAAGGGGTGAAGAAGAGAACTGTGTTTGAATGCAAAATAAATTATACATATTTTTCACCATAATCATTTACATTTGTTCTACTGCAGGTTATAAACATGTTTCCAACATTCTTCCTCCTATTTTCTTTCCCACTCCCATTACCTCAAAAATCCCAAACCTAAACTCTCTGCCATTGAGTTGATTCCTACTCATGTTGTTGTTGTCGTTATGTGCCATCGAGTTGGACTGGACTCATAGCGACCCCTCCTTGGATTGCCGAGGCAGTATCACTATGGAAGTAGATTGCCCAACCTTCCTTCCGAGGAGTGGCTGGTGGGTTTGAATCGCCAGTCTTCTAGTTAGCAGTCAAGTGCCTTAGGCACTGTGCTACCAGAGCTCCTAAGTGACCCCCTTTAGATTTCCAAGACTGTAAATCTTCGTGGAAGCAAACTGCCTCCTCTTTCTTCCATGGAGCAGCTGATGGGTTTGAACCACTGACCTCTTGGTTTGCAGCCAAATGCCTTAACCACTATACCACCCGAGCTCCTCACTACCATTGCCTAGAGAGGAATAAATAGAGATGGTGCAGAAGGTGCATAGTGAAATTATAACCCTACTAAATAGTCTCCATTTTCATACTTATTTATTTTGTTCATTCCATCACTAGACCAAAAAAAATCAAACTCACCGCTATTGAGGCTGTCCTTAATTTATAAGTGTTTCGGGTTCTAAAAGGCTGTTAACTGTTTTGGGTTACTTGGAGCATATAGGAATCAGTGATTAAGATTCCTTAGTAGCCCCCAAATCCTAGTGAATCCTAGTAGTATCAGTTAAAGAAAAGGAAATAAGAGAGTCAAATGAGATATAAATTTGTAACATTTTGAATTACGGTCCTAGAATACAATAGCAACCCTGTGTCCCACCACTTGATAGTAGGAATTGTCCAACATAGCCACACCTGTGAGGTCTTGATTGCCTAAGCACGTCTTACTTTGTCCTTCCTCCAAGAGCTTGGATTCTCTAAGTTCACTCAATTTAGAATTCTGTTCTCAAATGTTTTTAATATAAATCCAAATCACACTTTAAGACTCCCAGAAGCCTCAAAAAACTTTCTTGACCTCTTCAGATTTAATAAAATTTTCTATCTTATTATCTGTATTGTTTTTGTCATGTTCAGATTTTAAGTATCTTCTCCTCACTTTTCCATAAATAGATTTGAAATCCTTATAGGCTAAGGACAGCATCTTACACTCCTTTGTTTTGTTTCTGTCACCAGATAAAATGATATCAACATACTATGTGCTCATCTACTCTCTCATATAGTCAACACATTTTTCTTGAACATGTACTACCTGCATTCTTCTGGGGAGAGAGGGAGAAACAGATTAGCTTGATTAAATATACCCATGGCCATTAACTTGATTCTGACGCATAACGACTCTCATAGGGTTTCCAAAGCAACAAATCTTTAAGGAAGAAGACTGCCTCATCTTTCTTCTGTGGTGTGGCTGGTGCATTTGAACAGCCAACCTTTGGGTTAGCTGCCTAATGCCTGAACCACAGTGCCACTGGCGCTCCTTACGGTTAAATTATAGAAATGTTAAAGAGTAGTGGGAACTCTGGTGCCCTAGTGCCTTAGGCATTTGACTGATAAACAGAAGTCTGGCAGTTCAAACCCACTAGCCACTCCACAGAAGAAAGACTGGGAAATCTACTTCCATAGTGTTACTGCCTCGGAAACCCAAGGAGGGGTCACTATGAGTCGGATATGACTCGACGGCAGTGAGGTTTTGAATTAAATAGTAGTAAGAGCTAAGGAGAAAAAAAAATCGTTAAGGGAGACAGGAAATAAATATGCAGACACTTGATTGGGGGAAGGGTTGCAAAATTTAGAAAAGGTGGTCAAGGAAAGATTCACCAATAATGTGACTTGAGTAAAACAAACAACAATACGGACATCCACTTGATTCTGACTCAGCGAAACTATAGGACAGACTAGACCTCTCCCATAGGGTTTCCAAGGCTATAAATCCTTACGGAAGCAGATTTCCTCATTGCTCTCCTGTGGAGCAGTTGGTGGATAACAATTGCCAACGTTTTGGTTAGCAGCCAAACTTTTTGGCATTTAGCAGCCAAATCCCTTAATGACTGCACTACCAGAGCTCTTTGTCTTGAGAACAAACCACAACCAAACCCACTGCCACCGAGTCAATTCCAACTCACATTGAACCCCATTGGATTTCCAAGGCTGTAAATCTTTATGGAAGCAGACCGCCTCATCTTTCTTCCAAGGAATAGGTGATGGGTTTGAACCACCAACCTTCTGATTGAGAAAAGACCCTCAAAAACTGGAAGAGCAGCCTCTATCAATTTCTTGGAGGAGAGACTTTCAGTCAGAGGAAATAACAAATGTAAAGGTGGAAAATGATCTAGCTTGTATGAAAAATATGAGGAGAGAGGCAGTAAATAAAATCTGAGAGTTAAAGGCAAATCAGACCATGTAGGGCCATGCAGGTGACAGTTAAAAGTGTGAATTTTATTCCTCTCATTGCAAGATTTAAAGAAGGTGGCTATGCTGAAACTAATCTTTGAACAGATCACTCTGGCAGCTCTGGGTGTAGCGATCAGTTAGGAGACCATTGCTATAATCTGTGCAAGATCACATGGTGGTTTGCGGGTAGGTTGGTGGCAGTGGGAATAGTGAAAATTGGTCAAATTCTGGATATGTTTCCAGGTAAGTGTTGTGTGAAGGTAAAAGAGCCATCATACTCTAAGGTTTTTCATCTATGCCACTGGAAGTTTGAACTTGCCATTATAGAGATAGGAACACTGCAAGAGAAGGGGAGTGATGAGAAAGAGGATAAGACTAATATCTCAGTTTGGGACACTTGAAGTTTGTGATGCCTCTAAGTGGAGATGTTGAGTAGGCAGACTGTGGTAGGTAAGGTTGTGTGTCAACTTGGTTGGGCCTGGTTTTGACTGGCTGGGCAGCTGGATGTAGCAATTCCCTATGATGAGACTGGTAATCAACTCCATGGTAGAATCTACTGGGAGCAGTGGAGAAGCTGCCTTAGGGATGTGGTCTGCTTCTATATATAAGAAGACACTTTGAAAAGGTCTTGAGCTTCTTGGCACATCTGGATTTTGCATCTGGCTGCATCATCAGTAAGTGGTCTGCCATGTTTTCTGCCGATCTTGGGACTGTTTCTGGACTAGAACTAGTGGCTTGCCATGTTGTTTGACAATCTTGGGATTGTGCCACTTTACTTGTCGACCTTGGGCTTGTCAGCTTCAGCAGCTAGCAGTTGCCTGAGTTAAGAGACGCCTCCAGCTCCAGTGGGCCCAGAGCAAGAGGCAGAGCTGAAGACCAAGGTCAAGACCCTCAAAAACTGGAAGAGCAGCCTCTATCAATTTCTTGGAGGGGAGACTTTCAGTAAGAGGAAATAGCAAATATAAAGGCAGAAAATGATCTAGCTTGTATGAAAAATGAGGAGAGAGGCAGTAAATAAAATCTGCCCCTTGAGCTGACACTTTGAACTTGGACTTCTAGCTTCTTAAACTGTAAACAAATAAATTCCTGTTTATTAAAGTCATTTGAGGTATTTCCTGTTAGAGTGGCTCTAGAGAACCAAAATGTAGGAAAGAGGTCTAGGCTTTAAAATTGGGAGTTACTAGCAAGTGATTGGCATTCATAGCCACCAGAGTGGTGGAGATGAATACAATTGTGTTACTTGGATTACTTAGAATAAAACAAACTTCTTTTTCAAAATTTTCAATTAAAATTGTGAATTATTTAGATAAGAAATGTTACTGAGAGTAATAAATAGTAGTAGTCAACTCTTAAAGATAATGGACCTGAGTTGCCAATCAAAATTTAGAATTGAAGTGAATCATGTGAAACGTTTTAGTTTGATTTATATTTATCTTTGCATATGTTTCTGTTTTTCCAGGCCAGACCTGTTTGATTGGAATAGTGTGGTTTGCCAGCAGTCAGCCACCCAACGATTGGAACATGCATTCAACATCGCTAAACAACAACTAGGCATAGAGAAACTACTTGATCCTGAAGGTTGGTACATTTCTGGACTACCACTGGATTTTTTTTTTTTT